TCTCTCTCTCTCTCTCTCTCTCTCTCTCTCTCTCTCTCTCTCTCTCTCTCTCTCTCTCTCCGTATCGTGGGTGTCGCAGGCTCACATGCCAGCGCCCCGCCCGCCGCTGAATCGCCGTGGCACATCTGTGACTTATTATTATTTTTTGTTCGAATAAGAGGAGAGGCGATGAGGTGGAGGAGAGTGGTTGGTGAAGAAGAAGGGAGTTCTCAATGGAAACTGGTGTACATCTTCTTCTTCTTTATTTCATCTTCTTCTTCTTTTTCTTTCTTTCATATTCTTCTTCTTCTTTCCCTCTCTCTCCTCTCAAGTTCATTCATTTTTTTGCAGTTGGACGGCATTGTACTTTCTCATGAATGTGTACTTCGAAATTGGCCAGGATCATAACACAACCTCTCTTAAATAGCAAATAATAGAGTGCTAGCACCCTGGATCCCCCAGGTGTATCGTGGAGCATCCTTCCTCTTCCTTACAGGGCATTCATTTCACTTCAGCTCCAAAGCTGGTGGAGACTGAAGTACGATCGGGGCCACCACAAACTCCAAATGCGAATATGCCGATTTAGAAGTGTCCATTGTGAGTACCCTGCCATCCAGCCCTTCACAATCTGCACCCACATACCACCTGTAGGCCGATGGGTGCCCGAGAAGAGACTTCCGAAGAAGTGGGGGCTGTAATCCCCTTCTATGGTTTTCCCAGATGCTAGACTGTGAAGTCCATTCTGCACCACAATTCTGCAGCAAACCGGATGTCTTGACAGCGCTGCAGAGAGTCAATGACTAAGCACTTCCAAAGGTCACAGGCACAACCAGACAAAAAGCCAGGGATTGACAGGGAAACAAATCGACAACGGAGAGATTGTGATACAAAACAGCCGACCACATTATCGTCCGTTGACCATCCGGATTCTCCTTTGTGAATGCCACCACTGCAAAACCACCATCCTGTCCTGCCATATCGGCCGCATGGTAGAACAAGAATACCCGATACAGAACTGCATATGTTTCCTGCAGCAGGTCGCACTAAACAGAGAGGCTCAAGGTATAACTATACCGTTTCAGATTCGGGTGGTTTATAGGAACCTTTTCGGGAAGTAGCTGCGGGACACTGGACCCCTGTCATCTCACTTTTCAGCTCATTTGAAGGTTTTGTTTCGCTTTTCATCTCCTTTGAAGATTTTCTTTTCCCTTTTGGCCGCTTTCAGTGTTGCGAATCTGGTGATATGTGCAAGGCAAATGCTGCATGGAGTCACAATCCAACCAACTGTGTCTTGCTGAGGTTTTTGTCCCGACCTCAATTTCCCCCAGCCAGGCATGCGTATGGCAACTCTGGGCACTCAATTTACGCCAGGTGCCACCCAATCAACATCCATTGCTAGACACTAACAAGTTGACCCTTGCCTAATGTAACAGTTGAAGCTCTGCATGCACGTCAGGAAACACGGTTTCCTACACCTTCGTAAATTTAAAGACCCGTAAGCCAATGCTGACTTGATGGACGTTTCCATTGCCCCGGAGAGGGGAGAGCTCATGGGTACATCACATGCATGCGTGGTCTGCAAAGAAAAAAACTGTTTGCGTCAATCACTGGTTTGACAAAAGACTCACCCTGTCATTTGAGTTACAGTACTGTCGTTGAAGTCGTACCACAACTGGTCGTCCTCATCGTCCTGAGTATGCTGCTCCTCTTCCAGTCGAATCGCCCCTCCAGCGTCCGCCTTTTCGCTACTGATGGTTCCTCTCTCGCTCGGCGACACCTCCTGTTCAACATTCTCCGCTCGCCGCATACAGGAACACTCTTCCCCCGTTTTCACAGTGTTAAATAAGCCAAAACGATTACCATCTGTGGTGCTATCACAAGCTAACCTCTCCTCGCTCTTCGGTGTCTCAGCAAGTAACTGGTACACATTATCACCACAAAGGCCTCTCTCTTGCTGTGCTCCAACATCCTGCCCTCTGTCTAACCCTCCTGCTGGACCAGTCAGTGGCTCCCTGTCATCATTGTCCCTTGTGCTGCCCGAATCAGTATTTCTTGCATCTGTAGTGTTCATGCCAACTGATGACACACACCTTTTGCAAGCCTCGCCTTGCCTTTCTCTGTGCTCCTCCCTGCTTGATGTCCGTCGCTTCCGAGTTCGGAACAGGTCTCTTATGTAGGCATGGTAGTGGCCACTGTGAGCGTTCCCACTGTGAATAACCACTGACAAAAGATCGTACTTATAGGTATCATCACATACTGACTCCTTTTGACCCATGTTGGGCACCCCACTCAAATCCTTCTCCATTATGCAACTCTTCCCACCTCCTAACTCCTCTACTTCACCTTGCACAGTATTTGCCATGGGCCACGCACCAATGGAACCATGCTCTGTATTCAAGTCAGCAACATATGGGGCAAGGTCGAGCAACAAAGGGAATGAAAAATGTGTCGATATCTTCCGGCGCTCGTCGTTCTGCCAGTCGTACTCGAAGCGGCACAGAGGTAAGGTTAAGACTGGTGGAAGACACCGCAGTCGCTGAGACCTTCGAGCATCCACCTGCATGGCAGACATGCCAGTCACTGGCCCGTGTCACAAAATTGAGGATGAAAGAAAAACATAATTTTTCAGAACCGGCTCATATGCATCAATTACTTCATAAAATACGTCCCTCGACTTGGGTTTTTCCTTTTTCCTTTCTCCTGAATTACATGTGGGCAAACATGTCATTCGAAGAACTGATGATAAGCAACACACTGCTTCAACTTTTCCTAAGTCAGATCGTGTTTGGATAGACGGTAACACCACTCATACCATTTCTTTCCCATGTGACATTGGGATCTAACCACCGCAATGGCCCAACACTTTCTGAGTTCCCAACTTCCCATATATTTACTTGGAAAAAGGAAAGACCAAGCGGCAGTTGAGGGTGATGAAACTGCCTGCAGTGAAATATCTGGATTCACTTGGACACAGGAAAGACCAAGCAGCAGTTAACCGTGATGACAACTGTATGCAATGAAACGTCAGGATTGAGTACGAAACAAAGAAGACCAAGCAGCAGTTTCCCTGCACGAAATGGTGGTATTCCGGCACGCTGTGATGCTCGACAACAGTGGCCTCTGTTGGCCTTGATTGCATAAAATTTGTACCCGCAATACGAATTCATTTCTTCTGGCATCATCAGACTCCAGTTTGAACCTCAAAGGACTTGCACTACCAAAGCCCCTCACGTTAAACTGCCCCTTACAGCCTTTTGTTTCATCTTCCGTTGTTCTCACAGATACAGTGTTCTCACAGTAATTCCACCGCTCTTAGTCAAAGCCACAACATTAGGAACCCTCCACTCAATTAAACCACCAGTACGCCCGGGCCTGGAGGCGCTGCAACGCACCAACCTTTCTGAACTGCCAGCGGCGCACCTTCTCTCTTTTTTGGTTGGCACCGCAAGCCACTATGGTCCGGTAGGCCCGAGGCGAGAAGTTTTTGGAGCAGCCGACAAGCACATCTCCACAACGCTGGGGCCGCGTACGAACATGATACGTCAAATACGAGATCAAATTTCAGAGGACACTCAGGTAGTCTGTGGAACTCAGGTTGAAGTTTAGAGCCCCCCTTCAGGTTATGCCAGAAGTCGCCTTGAGGACAGAGACTCGTGCCCTGTTTATCTGCTCTCCATGCTACGATTCTTCAGAAGGCCGAGTTTGGAGTGATTTGGAGATTAGGCTCAGTCAGATAAATACAGATGTAAAAATACGAATCGTGGCAACTGCCTGCCTCCATTGCATCCATTATAGGTTGGGCTTGGCAAGCAAAATCAATTACGGTGACTGCCATTTCAATACAAGCATGTGACTTGAGGGTGTATACCAGAGGAGGCCGCATCAGGTTCCTATTGAAAGGCATTCCACGATGCAGACCCCAAATTCCAATTTCAGGGTCGAGGTCTCAGGCCAAGGAAGGCCAAGGAAGGCCAGTTCAGAAAGGTCACAGTCGAGTACCTTAGGAGTCAAGTCCAACAGGCACCCGGTGAACAGTCACATCCCAGAGGCAAAGGTTGCATTCTGTAAGCAAAAGTCACGTTCCATATTGAAAAGTCATATTCCACAGGCAAAGGACACTTCGCCAGGTAAAAGTCGTGTCCCGGGGGCAAGGGTCACGTTCCACAGCAAAAATTCATTTTCCACAGACGAAAAGTCGTGACTCAATAGTCCCAACTCGGGAAAGTACCAGGCCTTGACATTCTGAAGCAAACAGGCCATGGGCATGTGGTACCAGGTCCAAGTCAAGTCAAGGAAGCAGAGATTGGGACGAGTTCAGGCTCGGTCCAGGTGAATATAAGGCCTGGCCAGCCACATTTGAAGGCAAATGCTCATTCATGAAAGTGAGGAAGTGCTGCTGAAGCGCTTGTGCGCTATCTGCAAGAGGCAGGCGTGGGAGCCCTGCTCGGCAGCGCTGTGCTGAGAGGGAAGGCGGCCATAGCCGCTTAGCTAGTAGTAGAAGATAGACCTGGTCAGTAGCGGATGTATTCAGAGTCGAGATTCTCAAGCAGAGAGAGGAAGAGAGTAGAAAAAGAGAGAGAGAGAGAGAGAGAGAGAGAGAGAGAGAGAGAGAGAGCATGAAGGAGACCAGGAGGGACAGAGAGAGAGAGAAGTGAGCCAGGGAGAGAAGAGAGTCACCTACCTTAGATGAGGATGGTGGTACTGTATTTGAACTCTGCGCTGTTGGGTGCTTGGTGACTGGATCTTCGAAACTGTTTAATATAATAATGTCTTGGAATTTCCCAGCTGCGCATATCTGGACTTTGCATCTCTAGACTCCTGTGTGGATTCTGTGTGATCTCTCAATGTGTGTGTGTGTGTGCTCAAGGTGTCAAGCAGTGAGGCTCAATTCACTATGCAGGCCTCCTCGGGTATACACCCTCAGGTCACTAACTTGAATTGAAATGACAAAAGTCACAAAACAAACAATGGTGATCTATACCCGCGCGCCATGATTCATTTTGTCATCTCAAAGTGCTTTAAGCAATGCAGGATTGCAGATCAAGCAATGAAGTTTGCAGGTTGAATGAAACGGGGAAAAGCAATGATGATGTGAATGTGTCTTAAACAGGACCACTTAAGTGTTCGGAGCACACTGGGAGATGAAGAAACGGGAGAAAGCCATGAAATTGCATTGTCAATTTCGGAAACGGAAGAGGCAGTTCAGACTTGCCGAAGTCAAACTCAGCAGTTGTGTTGTGGTTCTTGTCCTAAGTGAAGGCGGGCCTGGCAAATTGACACTGGTCACCAGTGAAGGCCAGCGAAAGGGCCCTTGGGTCTGGCCCCAGCCCCTAGTCCCAGCCTACAGGTTAGTTACAGGGGCTGGGACCTGGAGGCAGCCCCAGTAGGCTGCATGCAATGCCCACTCGGTCTGCACGCGGCCTCCAGTCCACAAATAAAGAGAGGAGGCCATCAACCAGAACATGCCCAGGCAGGAGGCTGCATGGCACGAGTGCTGTTGCGTGGTGAGCAGAGAGGCAGTGCCCAAAGAGGAGAGCAGCTGCAGTGGCTGTACCGAGCGCCAGCCATAGCTGGGTGCGGGGAAGCTAAGTGGTGGAGTGTGCAGGTCAAGGAAGAAGGAAGTGGGGACTGGCGGTTCTTGCCTGGTGTCAGCAGAGAAAGCCTGTATGAGCAGAGCGTTGAAGCAGCACTAAGCACGTGATCCGTATACTGCGAGAGTGATGGTAGACGTTAGCATGAGTAGAGGTTGTAGGAAGGAGACCAGGGAAGGCATACTGCATGTAGGGTACTACGTTGTTGTTCCCTTGATGACTGGAGATGGATGGCGTGCTTTCTTTATCAAGAGATTCCGTTGTTTTGCTTGCTCCTAATCGGTGTGCATTTCACTTCGGTTCTCTGCTAGTAACTCGGCTCACTCTTGTTTGGTCTTCCCTGAGATTTTAGAATCTGGAATATTGGTGTTCTCATTGCTTGGTTCCTCAAATTTGGTACCCGAGCAGGTTCATAGACATGCCATTCTGGCTGGCAGGTCAGGTCTTGCAGTGCCCGCGGTCAATTGTGGGCAGTGTGATCGACTCCCTCCCTGGCATGACCAGCTCATGCATTGCGTGGAGAATCCATGGGAGGAAGTTTTTTTAGGTATGGTGCGGCCGTTGCTTGTGGAGGCACGTGCATTTTGTTGATGATGGTTCCTGAGCTTCAAACCGGTCATCAAACAGCATATCATATCATCCGTTGTTGGGGGCAGCAGCATTAGGTACATAGCCCTAACGTGATCGACCCTCCTTTATTCTTCTTACCCCGAGGAAGTATGTTTTGCTGGAGAGTGCTCTCATTGTGAGATTGTGAGAGCACAGTACCTTGAGAGTCGGCATTCGTTTGCGCATCTGGCGGGAGAAGGGCAGTACATTGGAAGTACCCTGAGTGGATGAAGGACATCATGTGGGTGGCCGGAACACGCATGCTTGCGCAGATCACACTCAGCTTCAGCTTGGTCGATAGAGACAGTCAGATGGTGTGGCCTTACATGAGGGAATGGAGTTCAATAGGGAGGCATTGGACGGACTGGATGAGAATGGACTCACAGATTGTGAGAAGTCGCTGTCCAAGAATGTACTGGGCCTCCATGAGGTATTGCATACAGTGGAGGGGCAAATTAGATTCCAAAAGGTCCGCCTTAGATAGTGTGACCAGCATGTTGTCCAAGTTGACAAGAGGAAAGGTGTTCCCTCTGCTGCCGTACAGACTGTCAGACCTCTACCTGAGCCCCAGCCACTGGTGCAGTCAAGCGGCTATCCGGCCATGTCTCAGCCGTTCATTCCCCAGTATGGCATTCACCCAGCCAGTGGTATAGCTGTGGGTCCATCTCACGCCTCTCAGCAGCCTTCTTCATTACCTGTGTCAGTCACTACAGGGACGGCACAAGCCTTGGTTTCTGCAGGGCTTTCTTTCCCTGCAAGACCATCACAGCCTCAACCTTCTGCCGAAACATCAATGGCCGCAGTGGCCATGTTCACAGGTGAAGAACGATGAGAACCTGGACACATGGTTACGCACAATACATGTGCGTAAGGAGGAAAGACATGTCTGTAGACAGGGAAGTTTTAGTTGCACCCTCGTTTCTACAACCGTTTGCAGCTGCCTGGTTAGATGGCAAGATAGCAGAGGATGGCATTGGGCTTGACTTGGCAGCATGGGCCAAGCATACCACGCTAGATCAGTTTATTGCCCTGGTAGAAGACCGATTCTAGGACCGGATGCAGGCTCAGAGAGTGATAGACAAGCTCAAGTCTCATAAGAATAAGGATGTCCAGGCCTTGACCGAAAGAAAATAGGTTTGTGAAAGGTAGAGAAGCTTATCAATGTGCCAGGAGTCCAGTATGATTCGGAGGCATTACTGACTAGCTACCTGAGAGCCCTCCCCGAGAACATCAAGGGAAAGCAACAACAAGATTGAAGAGGTTCTCAGAGGACTGTCGGACGAGAAGGCGAGGAAATACGGGGCTCCAGACCTTAGCGGCCTCATGCCGCTGCTGGAAAATGTCCCAGCCCGCCCGA